ACGTGTCATGTGTTGGCCCTTTTTGGAGCCTCGCTTATTGCTCGCTTCGTGCTCGTTCCTCGAGCACTTTGTTGGGAGTTCCACTCCTGCTCTTGACTTTTCAAATCGGAGCTTTTGGTCCAAACGTGTTACACTCCTTTGGCTCTCGCTTCGGCCACTACCACGTGGCGCCCTTCCGGCTCCACTTTGGGGCCTAGGGATTTTGTGTCTCACACTCGATGGGCGATATGGCGAGCGACGGGAGTCCAAGCCCTTTGGGAAGCACGCAACCGGGCACATTTCGAAGGGACACAGGTCGGAGTATCACAGGTACTGGCAGAGTGGTGGAGACTTACACTGGCGGCAATACGGCTTCACCATGCTATCCTCCGGGACAGGGGGAAGCTCGAGAGGCTCGAGGAGTGGCAAAAAGCATGGCTGCCATGTTTTGGTAGAGGAGATCACAAGGAGGTTCGTTGGAGATGGCGCCCCCCGGAGTCGATCTTGCGGTCAGCACGAAGGGGGGATATGGATCTGGACGTGATACGACGGAGACGACCGCAGCCGCTTCTACTGCAGGCCTAGTCTCACTTTAGATGAGGGAGATCACCACTAGGTAGCATGAGCTTTGGGCAGCATGCCCAGTTTTTGTATTAGTCCCTACGGGACATTGGGGAATGTACATACACGTTTCATCAAGGTGACCAAGTGGGAAAAGCACCTTAGGGAAATAAGCTATGTCATTGCAATGGCATAGTGTGTCCAAGGAAAGTAGTCTCTAAAGAGACCCATGAAAGGGTCACAAAGTTGGGCTGAGGATAGAGCCCACAGCAGAAGATGCTAAAGAGACTTACTAGGGGTGAACACCCTAGTATTGGCAAAGCAGAGCCTTTGCTATGGAATCAAAAGAATACCTCAAGGAGGGAGGTAGAGATTTGGTGTTGCTTGGTGCAACAATCAACGGATAGGACCAAAAGATGAGTGGCCAAGATAGGGCCGTGGAATTCCTTGGAAGGAATCCAAGTGACAAAGTTAGGCGAGGAACACTAATGTGTTGGACGCTAACAAATTGTGGGAAAGGAAGTGTGTTTCCAAGGATGGATTCCGAATTGCTCCGATTTGGCGAAAGTGGAAGCTCCAAGGGAGGGAGCGGTAAGGTAGCCAAATGATAGGGCGATGGACAACCCTAGCACAAAGTGTGATAAATGGAACTTAATGCCCAAGGTGGCACGAAATAGAAGAGAGGATGATGGTGCCCTCAAGTAATGAACTTCCTAGGATAGGGAAGTGGAGTTGCACAATCTGTGCAATGCAAGGTGTTGGAGACACCTAGGAAATTGACTTCCAAAAGTCAAAAGAGTAAAAGTTCCAAGGTGCAAACATTCAATACATGGAAATTGAGACTACTCGAGAAGGAGCAGTGGGATTGACTTAGAGAAGGGTTTCTAAGAGGTTTAGCGAGAACTAAACCAATAAAAGGAGAGAACCACTACATGTGGTCCAAACAGCCTCTAAGTTGGAGAGACTACCCTCCTTAGAGGATGGGCAACGCATGGTGAGCCTTTGGTGTCAAACCATTGACGAATATGCAGAAGGCATGGTGAGCCTTCAATGTCAGACCATTGACAAATATTGGCTAGGTGCCAAGGATGGAAATGGTAACACATGAGGGTGTTACTTTATAAAATGGTTTACCGTTTGATGAGGACATCGAACTTCGTCTATGGGTGGTGGAGTTGTGAGACACAAAATCCCTAGGCCCCAAAGTGAAGCCGGAAGGGTGCCACCTGGTAGTGGCCGAAGCGAAAGCCAGACCTGCTGGAGGGCGATGGATCACTGATATGGTGGCGACAGCAGCTACTAGAAGATCTAGACTGGGACCCTGCTGCATGGCGACGAGGGACAGGAAGCTTTTTCTCCTATGCAGTCAAGGAAGCGCGGAATGGACTGCTGACATCACGAGAGGAGGCGAGAGAGGAGATTCCAAAGCTGTGGCAGAAATGGATAGCACAGGGGGTCGGCGCGGAGCAAGTGGTGGACAACACGATTCACTTCTGGAAGTTGCCCGTGCAGGAAAAAGTGAAAGTCACCTCGTGGTTGGTAGCGAACAATGGACTTCCGGTTGGACAGCGATTCCAGGACGACGCGAGTCGCAGGTGCAGGGAGTGTGACAAAATCGAGACAGTCAAGCATGCACTGTGGGAGTGTGACCACTGCAAAGGAGGTGTGGCGCCAGATTATCAACGGCAGGGAAGGAGTTGGGCGTGACACAGGATTTCGAGGCCCGCAGTGGTGGATGTGCTTCACTGGTTTGAGGAAGCGAGGGGCCCAGCCCAGGGCCCAGCCCTACGACACATCAAGTGCAGAGGACGACACGGCTTGGGGATTCAGGTCCGGTGGGACACGACCGGGGCAGAGGTAGGAGTCCCAGTGTGGGAGGCGCTTGGACATGCTCGATGGGGGATATGGTGTGCGACGGGAGTCCAGGCCCTTTGGGAAGCACGTAACCGGGCGCACTTCAAAGGGACACAGGTCAGAGTATCACAGGTACTGGCAGAGTGGTGGAGACTTACACTGGTGGCAATACGGCTTCACCATGCTACCCTCTGGGACAGGGGGAAGCTCGAGAGGCTTGAGGAGTGGCAGAAAGCATGGCTGCCATGTTTTGGTAGAGGAGATCACAAGGATGTTCGTTGGAGATGGTGCCCCCCGGAGTCGATCTTGTGGTCAGCACGAAGGGGGGACGTGGATCTGGATGTGATATGACAGAGACGACTGCAGCTGCTTCTACTGTAGGCCTAGTCTCACTTTAGATGAGGGAGATCACCACTAGGTAGCATGAGCTTCGGGCAGCATGCCCAGTTTTTGTATTAGTCCCTACGGGACATTGGGGAATGTACATACACGTTTCATCGACCCAGGGACCTAATAAAAAAAATGATTGGCTTGTTAGGGCGTGGAGGAGCACAGCTTCTAGCACCATGGCTTCCGTGATCGGAGGCGCGGCCAGAGGAGGGAGAGCGCAAAGTGGAGAGCGCCCAATCTCCCCACACTTGCTACCGACAGCGGGGGCATCTGCTGTGAGATTCAGGTAAGAATCACTCCAGAATCTCTCTGTTTTTTCTTTTACACTGCTGTGTCCAGGATGGAACGTCATCCAGCACCCAGCAACAGTGGAGGACGAGCCAAGCCTCAGCCATTCACACTTGGAAAGGGCACTCGAGGCCGCGGCCTCAGTATTTGACTGCCCCAGGGAGGGATGCTGAAGGGAAGAGCTGCCAACAGCAAAACCCCAATCACTGGCAAGAGGACATCGCTGGGCTCTCTAGGGGACAGTGAGAAGCTAGGTCCAAGTGGCACGGCAGGAAGCAGTGAGCACACAATCAGTGATCAAACAGGCTCGAGGCAGAAATCACACCACACGGACAGTGACTACCTTGCAGAGTGCGCAGCCATAGATCTTCATGAAGAAGTCGTGCAGGATACCAGGGAGATGATGATCAGGGCTCAGCACACTCATCAGCTTCTCAAAGAACTGGCAAACACACCAAAGAATACGCTGGAAAAGCTAGTCTCACTGGAACAGGACGGTGGTGCACACAGAAGTAGCTTGGCAACCAAGGAGGAGCCACCAGCACCAGATACAGTCCTTGAGCCCAGTTCAGGATGTCTTGGGAACCAACAGGAAGAAGATGAAGCAATGGACGAGGTGATCCTGCCTGGAAACACAGGGGTGGCGATGCACAAGTCACTAGAAGAGGAGCTGCGCAGGAGCAGTGACGGCGCAGGAGAGCAGAAGCCTTCAAGGGCACAAGGACCTGGGCCAAGGATGTCTCAACCAGCCTCACCACCCACGCAGCATGGTTCCCCAGTACAACAAAGCTGTGCGCTGAACAGAGAAGTACAGGAAGTAAGTGGATTCCTAGGCTCGGGGGATCTAGCCAGTGGAAATGGACCACGGGAAGAGGTGGCCACAAGCAGAGCTCTAGACTTGAACTTCCTCACCCCCATCACTGAGTGCATGGGACGCAGAGTGGCTCTCAACGTGGGGAAGACTGCCTCTGGAAAAACCAAAGGTAGGACATGCCCTAATCCAAGTAAGAACAGGAGCGGCGTCACCACTAGGGCAGCGGCAGCAGCGATGAGGGCAGCCACGGTTGTGGAGATACCAATAGGTTGTCATGCACAAGAGTCAAGAGTGGATCCAGAAGAAGAGAAGGGCTTGGAGACGCCAAATGACCAAACGAGAGGGCACAAGGAAACGCTAGAGGCACACAGGACCGAGGCAAAGGAGCCGGTCCAGGGGGAAGAGGTGAGCCACTGCCTCACCAAGGCGTCAAGTGAAAGCCAGGGCCAGTCCAAGAGAGGGCCACTCAGCCAGAAGTTTTCCCACAGGTGCCTCTCGGATCTGACCAACAAAGTGAAAACATCTCTACCGGGCTCTCCGGTGAAGTCGGTAGGATCTCGACTTAAGAGCAGGACGTCTCCCAGTCATCAGCCTGACCGTGAGCCCCAGCTATCGGTGTTGCAACAATGTATGCCACACCAGACAGAAGAAGGACTGCTGCAATGGGATCCCCGAACCTTTGCGAAGGCTTTGCGGGAGGCCACTCAGAACGAAGTTTACCTCCACCAAGACATACTCACCGCTGAAGTATGGCACCAGGAGACTCACCCCAAGGGAGAAGACCGAAATCTTGGCCCCGCTCTCAGGGAAGCCCTCGATCTCGCGACTGAGGCACTAGTCACACCAAAAGAACAAGAGTACACAAACAGCCAGGAGGCCCAACAAACTAAAGTGCAAGAGGAAGTTACAAGCACGTGGAAGGAACAAGAGGAGCAGGAAGTGGAACAACAAAGAGACCAAGACAAGGAGATCCCGGAAGCTAGCAAAAAGGTGGAGATGCAAAAGGAGGAATCGATTCTGGGGAAAAGAGCGAAGCCTCTGGCGCTACTGCTGGAAGAACAGGAGGAGGAGATGAAGCGAATGGGACAGGAGAGGGAAAGAGAGGCCAAAAAGAACAGGATGGAGAAAAAGAAAGAACGCAAGGTGGCGCGTAGGAAGTTAAAGACCCAAAGTAGTTCAAAGGAGGCCCTCGCGTGGGAAAAAGAGGTGGAGGAGTTCCTCCACGAGGAGGAAACGTGTTCTGAGGAGGACCAAGAGCAGCAGAAGGGTAGCACAGCAAAAGAAAAAGCACAGGGAGCCTCGGCAGGACGTGGGTGGGAAAAGGTGGAGGACAAGTGTCGGACCACACCACACCAAGGCCCGGAGGACCCAGGGGAGCAAGGTGACTTGGGAGTTGAGCAAGAACAAGAAGGCTGCCCCGCACAAGGAAAGGTGGTAAAGGAAATCCCGCACACAAAAGCCCCTAAGACGAAGCCTCACGCCGGAGAGTCAGGGAAACGTGCTGGAACAGCGCTAGATGCCAAGGGGATGGCAAAGGCAGTCAAGCTGGGCGAGGCTCTCAGCCAGGTGGTGGCGGCTAGGGAAGAAGAACTATGACATAGAGCAGTGATTGCAGTATTCAGGGGGAAGTTTCCCACTGGCCGCATGGCCATGGACTGGCTGAATGCTACGTTGGAGCAGGGGATTACAATCAAGAACTTGCTCCCACATGGTCGTGGATGCTACACAGTGGTGTTTGAGATAGAGGAGGCGCAGGCTCGAGCAGAGGAGCTGCATGGACTCATCGATGATATCTGGGCGGTGTCCTTCCAAGGTTCACGGCAGATGACCAGGCACGGCTGAAGGGGGGAAGTGTCCCACTTAACGTGGCACTGTGGGACATCCCAATGGAGATGAGGATTAAAGAGGTGATATGAAAGCTCGTCGAGGGAAGCATCGGGCAGATCGCCTCGGGACTAGACACCATGGATGCGGAGGGCATTTTGGGCCCTGTGAGACTTAAGGTCTTTGTCTCATCCCCAGCAGAACTCCCTACGGAGATAGCAGTCCTGGGACAGTACGTTCGTATACAGGTGGAAAACGCAGCACCACGCTGTGGTTTGTGCCTACAGTCTGGGCACAGCGAGAATGCGTGCATGACCAAACGACCCAAGCTTGCTCCAGGACATCCCTTTGAACTCCCAGAGGCCATGGAGAAGCAATTGAAGCAGCGTCCTCCAGAGCAGGCTCCACACATCCGGTTTCCAAGTGCACCACCTTTCTCGGGACCTGATTCACGGCCCAGAATGTTCGAGAGCCCGATTGCTGAAAAGGATGGAGAAGGCTTTCAGCAGGTTCTTCCTCGGACTGTGAACATGGCAATCAGATGGATCCCACCCAAGAGAGAATTAACAACCACAGAGGCGGGAGACTGGCTGATGTACCGAGGGCACACGGCCTTCCCAGAGGTCATCACGCTCGGCGATTACCAGACCCGAATGGAACATGCCATCACCGAGTGGACGGGATTTTCAGAATATGCAGTGCGGGGCTTCTCCTGGACTAAGTACAGGGGGAGGCTCACTGCAGTATGGACCATCTCCTCGGAATGGAGGGCGAGGCCTAACAGCACGGTTTTCTCTTGGAAATACATTGCTCCATGACTACGCTCACAGTGCTCACGTGGAACTGTCGGGGACTCAGCTCTGAGGACAGTAGACTCAACAAGAGAGTACAGCTCAAGTCCCACATCCGGGAGATTGGCTTAGAGATGCTCTATTTCGTTAAAGTGGGATTTATTCAGTAAAATGGGACTAGGTACAAATTTTCAAGTATTTGAAAATGACGTGAAATTATATGTTTTTTGTCCAGGGGCTAGACATATCTGGGGCATGGTGACTAGCGCGGTGACTTTATGTCCAGACTGAGTCCATCTGGTTGTATAATAAATCTCATTGTCAAGGTGAACAAGCCGAATCTGAAGCTAAAGAAGAGCGATGGCATGCACGCACACACTATTTGTTTGTTCATTGAGCATGTGGTGAGCTTTCCAAGATGAACGTCATTCCTATTAGCCAGACATATAACTTAATGGTGAGAACATTTAGATATTATTCAATGTTATCTTTTTCTAACGAATCTAATTGTGAAGGTGTAGCAAGAGGCATTGCTAGTCTGGAGAAGTCATTTAACTCATTTGACCCTTAGTGTATTTTCATGAAACTAAATAACATTCATATTATTAAGGAATTTCTCTAGTACCTTTTTTTTACGACATAGAGGCTTGCATTTCTTTCAAAGGTGATTTAGTAAAAGGCCTAAGGGCACATGCCATTCTATTTCTCAGACCGGTATTAAGATATACTAGTGCAAAGGGAAAAAGGTATTTGGTGATCAAGTAAATGGCATGAGGGCACACGCCATTATAAGGCTAAGCGCTAGTGGACACCTCCTTTTTGGTACTCTCAGCGGTACTATCATCCTTCTCCGGGTCAGTTGTTTTGCTTTGGATTGTTGTCTCTGACGTTACTGGGGCGTTCTCGATAGTTGTTAATGTTGCCGTTTGTCCAGAAAAATGATCACCTGGAGTATAGTACGGGGAGTTTGGAAGATTTATATATTCTACATCTTCACCTATCTCCTTCTCCGTCTCCTTTTCTGCCTCACTTACAGATTTTGTGTTTGCCATGAGAACGCTCTTCACCCTAAAATATGGAGTTCGTTGTGTTATAAAAGGAAACCAACACACACGCTTCAAGGGAATGATGGTACATAAAGCACGTAAGCCCACAATATGGGTTTATGTGCCATTAATATGGGCCACACGCCATATTATTAGATTTATGCACGTGTGATTGGTAAATGCATATGTCACATCATCTTTGTTTTACCTCACACACTATATCAGGCCTAATGAACCATATCACATGTGCGCACATGCTATATATATGGAGAAGTATTATGCAAGGATAGAAATTCAATGCATGATTGTGGAGAGCAATGGCATGAAGCCACATGCTAAATAACATTTTAGAGAAAGATCTTGTTATTTGTTATTTGTATTATCTCACTTAGGAATGGCGTAAGGCCACATGCCATCACGCCTCCTCTGATTCAGATTCGGATTGTTCACCTTGAAATAAAATACATTAGAAACTTAGTAAAGGAATATTCATGAATCTCACCTTGAACCCGGGTTATGAATGCTCTTGCTGCATCTCTTGCATGGTCTGGCAAGGTGATGGTGGCACTCTGCTTCCGCATCCAACCATGCACAACATTATCCACCGATATGCTCATGCTGGGATCCCTTGGATTCAGCACCCATCTCTTTTCTAGGCAATCGTTCGTATATCCGGAACTTGGCTTGAACCACTCCACAGTTACATTGAAGGAGTTAGTTTCCGCGTCCTCCTCTGCATCAGTGATGCAGCGCCCCACCCATATCATTTGTTTTTTATTACTGGGTCTGACAAGCACGACCATTCCTTTGCAGACCTGTACTGGATTGAATGCTGAATCCGGCTTCTTGTTCCTCGGCCCACAATAGTGATCCTCAACATCGTTATCTGTCACTGCATTTCCAGAGGACATTGTTCCGCTACTATCTAGTGCTCTGGGTTCTGGCCAAAAGGACTCTTCCAATTCTTCATATACAACCGGCCCATTTTGGATAGCAGATATAATCTTCTCCCAGTATTCGAGCAAAGGTTTGCACCTCTGAAAATAGGATTCTCCACCAAACACCAACCCCCTCTTCCAGAAGGCAATATGCTGTCTAATCCCGGCCACTATACTTTCCTGGTCTTTGAGTCCATCCGGGTGCATCGGCCGTGGGGAACCCTGAGGAATCATAGGTTCCCCAGTTATGGGATCTCTCTTGAAGAGTTCAATGCCGTCCACTGGCAGCCACACTGTGTCCCATTCTCTCATCTTGTACCTCATCATTGGAGCACCGTCACACATGCTGAAATGAAACTGAAGAGGCTTGGAGTGGCCAATCAGCGTTTCGGATCCGTCCCTGATGTAGCCTCTTACAAACCCCTTAAAGTCTGGAACCTCTGTCAAAAGTGCAGCTTCAACAGTGCCTTTGATGCAATTTTGGAATTGATCGTAGAGTTGTGGGAGGGTGAGGACATTGGATCGCCGGAGGGACTCTGCCAGGTGACTGAACATGGCATCGACGTCTTCATGAGTGTGCCCAACCATGAGAAAGCCAAGTGTAACCGTTTCAAATATGCCTTTGGCAACAAGCATCGCCAAGTACGCGAAGACGTACATGTTTTTGTTCTCACTGCCAGCATTGTCTGTTTGGAGCAGAAGATGGGGTGGAAGGCCACATCGGCCGCAAGAACTTCCTTGAGATTCTGCTTCGTTTGGATGAGGCTGTGCATTCACCGGGCGACCAGCCTCGTCGGAATGGCATGAGGCCTCACGTGATAACCCTACAATCTGACGGCCAACATATTCACTGGGATGGCATGGGGCCCCACGCGATACTGCAAGCCTTTGCTCCTCCTCCAGCTGAACCCTGTATGGGGTTCGATCGACAAGGGCCTTATGCAAGGGTTGGCCGTTCAGCTCAGTCTGCGCACTTTGCAGAGACCTTAAGTGTTTTGCTAGGGACGCAATCATCATGTTTGCACCCCCGCCACCCCATAGAGGTACAAAGAAGTTCCCATAGTTCTGGGCACCATGCCCATGAGCGATTATGCCAAATAGAGACAGAGGCAGCTGCATGGATGAAGAGATTGCCTTGGGGGCAGGATTGAGTCGAGGTAAGCACGTCTTTTTCTGGTCCATTTTGTCGTGGATGATGCAGAGGTAAGAGTCAGGTCTCTCCATGGAGAGAATCCTGTTATGATAATATGCAGTCCTGCAGCTTCTCTGCTCGATGTTGTGGTCGAGCTGCCTTCTAACCAACGTCTCTCGCTCTTGAGCGCTACAAGAATTCTTCGACAAAGCCATTTTGATAGCAGTGCACTCGTCACACTTTGAAAAGTTGGAGTACTTTCCTATACTCACATCCCTGAACCTGTTGCTCCACAATCTACTAAATCTAGATTGGCTCAGCTTCCTGTAGCCATTACTCTGGAGTTCCCGATTCACATCTTCCAATATGGCCCCCTTGGTATACATGGAAGGGAGAACTCATTGGGTGTCTCGTGTTCCATCTTCCAAGAGGCGGGTTTTATGTGGTTGCTGCTCGCTACATGTCTCAACAAACCTCTTGAAGATTGCCTCTCCATATACAACATGACCCTGTGAGACACAAAATCCCTAGGCCCCAAAGTGGAGCCAGAAGGGCGCCACATGGTAGTGGCCGAAGCGAGAGCCAAACGAGCGTAACACGTTTGGACCAAAAGCTCCGACTTGAAAAGTCAAGAGCGGGAGTGGAACTCCCAACGAAGTGCTCGAGGAACGAGCACGAAGCGAGCAAAAGGCGAGGCTCCAAAAAGGGACCCAAAAGGACCAACACATGACACGTGGGAGTGTCCGAGATGGACTCGAGTTGGAGTCCGAAGTGGAGTCCGAGATGGACCCGAGTTGGAGTCCGAAGTGGAGTCCGAGATGGACCCGAGTTGGAGTCCGAAGTGGAGTCCGAGATGGACCCGAGT